CCTCTTTAGGGGCCCCCCCGTGGGTGTGGGGCCCTCCTGCGGGCCCCACACCCGGGGGGCCCCCATCCTTCTGTTTGTAATATATATTTAAATATTATTTTAAATATAAATAAACAATTATTTAATTAATAAATAATACATTTTCTAGTCTTTTGCTTCGGCTGGTTGGGCCCCCGGGGCCCCTGCAGCAAGGGGGGCCCCCCGGGCTCTAAGGGGCCCCTCTTCTATTTCAGGTGTATCTGCAGCTCCTCCCCCTCCGCCTTTGTTTTATTCTATCCTTCAGAAAGCATCACAGCTGCTGCAGCAAGGGGGGCCCCTGCTGCTGCAGCAAGAGGGGCCCCTTCTGCCGCATACGGGGGGCCCCTGTACCCTTCTGCTGCAGCAAGAGGGGCCCCTGCTGCTGCAGCAAGAGCCTCTCGTGCTGCTGCAGCGAGAGCAGCCCCTTCTCCTTCTTCCTGAGCAGCAGAGGGGGGGGCCCCAGCAGCAGCAACTCGAAAAGAGGGGGCCCCCCGCAGCAGCAAGACAGCCGAGAGGGCCAATTCTTAACCCCCGCAGTGCATGCAGCAACGGTAGCAGCAACAGCTCAAACAGCAGCAGCAGCAGCAGCAGCAGGAGTAGCGGGGACGGCAATAACAGCAGGAGTAGCAACAGCAGCAAAAGAAGCAGCAGCTGCAGCAGAAACAGCAGCAGCAGCAGCAGCAGCAGCAGGATAATCATCAACAGGAGTATCAGCAGCATCGGGTGCTGCAGCAGCAGCAGCAGCACCACCCCCACCACCTCCAGCAGCAGCAGCAGCAGCAGCAGCAGCAGCAGCAGCAATGGCGCGTGATCGCAGCAAGAAGCGGGGGAAGCAAGGCGGGGCCTCCTCTGACTTCGGCTCAACAAAAAAAAAACAAAAGGTGGGGGCCCCCAGGGGGCCCCCCCCCTCTCATACCCAGGTAGAGGTTAGGGTCAAGAAGCATCTGCTGGCAGCAGCAGCAGCAAAAGCAGAGCAGCAGCTGCAGCGATATAAAGAAGAAGCAGCAGCAGCAGGAGTACCCTTTGCTTATCTATGTACACCTTCAGCAGTAGAAGAGGCCCTACAAAAG